TAGCCTACCAGGCTCCTCTGTCCATGGGATTTCCCAGCCAAGAGTGGATTGCCATTCTTATTGTCATTTGCCTGCTATAGAAGCTGAGGCCTAGAGAACAGGTTGAGCTCAAGGTCACAAAGTTCATAAGTATTGCAGCCAAAACACAACCCCAGTCTATGGTATGGAATATTCAGTAGCCGTGTGACTCTACTTCAGGATACCAAATCTTGGGCTCAGGGAGGTGAATTGTCCACTGATAGTTTTGGCTGAAGGGACCAGTGGGCCCTTTGGACCTTCAGCACTTAAAGTTCCTGGAGCCTGGGACTCTGCTAGATGCTGTGGGGACCCTCACAGGGTGGGAAGACACAGTTACTTCCAGAAACTCACAGTGTAGTTAAAGAGAACAACTCACATGCAAGAACCTCTTAGGACTCACATGGACTTGCTGAGAGATTTGTTCTATAGGTCCCTGTGTGTGAGAGTCTGTGTTAGTGTGTGTTTATGAGTGTGTGTTATGCACACATGTGTGTAACAGGAGCAGGTGTGTGAGAAGAGAAGGCAGTGCTAAGGGATTGGGCGTAGGAGAAGTGATGAGGCTGCAGAACCTGCTTCAGGGGGCTGAGAACCCAGGGTGCTGCCTGGATGGTGAGACAAGAGGATTCCTTGTGGAGGTGACACTCGAAGTCTAGTGACAGTGCCCTAGACTATCTGGGGAGCTTTTAAAAATATCAGTGCCTGATAATTATCTAGTGGTCCAGCAGTTGGGACTCCTCATTCTCACTGCTGAGAGCTTGGGTTCGATCCCTAGTTGGGGAACTAAAATCCCACAAACTGACTGCAAGTTTCATAGTACAACCAAAAAAAAAAACAAAAAACAAACAAACCCTGAAATGCCCAAAATAACAGTGTCTGGGTCACACCCACGTGCTAAGTCACTTCAGTTGTGTCCGACTCTTTGCAAACCCTATGAACTATAGCCTGCCAGGCTCCTCTGCCAATGGGATTGTCCAGTCAAGAATACTGGAGTGGGTTGCCATTTCCTTCTCCAAGGGATCTTCCCGACCCAGGGATCAAACCCATGTCTCTTGTGTCTCCTGCATTGGCAGGGAGATTCTTTACCACTAGTGCCACTGGGATATCCTACCTAAAGAGACTCATTTAATTAGAGAAATTCATTTTTAGAAGCCCTCTTCACAATTCTGCAAATATTTCGACTGAAAACTGTACGAGTACATACTTTCCCAGCAACTTCCAGACTCCTCTCTTTTGAATCCAAGCTGCAGATCTTTCAACGGACTCCCTGGATCTGGACCTTCTTGTTCTCTCTTTCCTGTGACTGAGAGGTCGGATGACCATGTAGACGCCGGCTAGGCAAGGCCAGCACCTGCTGCTGTAAATCCGATGCAGTTGCATCATCGCTCTGCCCCACGTATCTTCAGTATCTTGTATCTACATCTGGACGGACAGTCTGTTGTTTTCTGCTTTGTAGCAGTTTGTGCAGTCACAAGGGGACGTGTGCTGTGTGCTGTTCCGCTGCTGGGGTTTTTGTCCTGTAAATATATGCTGGGGTGAGTTTATTTATAGGAAATGATGATGGTTCCTTTTGATTGTTATTGACCAGAGCAGGTTTTCATGTGTCTCATCTTTCTTTAATTCATTGTTGTGGAAAGATTTTCAAAGAAAGGCCAAGTGAATTCTAACCATTTCAGGGAAATTCCCCCTATGTGGGAACTTCAGTGAGGCCTGAGGAAATGATCAGAAATCACCCCAGAGTAATCAGAAGGTTGGGAAGTCTGGGAGAGAAGAGCTTTGTAGATGTATTTGACTGTGCATTAAGGCAGTGGTTCTCAATCTTGGCTGAGACACTAGAATCTTCCCGGGAACTTAAAAATCAAAAGAAACACAACAAAACCCCCAAGCCCCAGACTGCATCTTGGAACAATTGAATAAGAATGTCTGGGACACAGTACCCAGCATCAGTATGTTTTAAAGCTCCTCAGATGATTCCACTGGTAGCCAAGGTTAGGAACCACTGTATGAAGGGATAAGAGTGTGACCCTCTGGACTGTAGCCCACCAGGCTCCTCTGTCCCTGGGATTCTCTAAGCAAGAATACTGGAGTGGGTTGCCATGCCCTCCTCCAGGGGATCTTCCAGATCCAGGGATGGAACGCAGGTCTCCTGCATTGCAGGCGGATCCTTTTTACCATCTGAACCACCAGGGAAGCCCTAATAAAGAAGAGGGGGCCCCAATATGTTGCAAGAAAGAAGAGGAAGAAGGTAAGATGAGGAAACAGTCATCTACAGCAGCTTTGGAATGTAATAGTTAAGTTTAACCAGTTCCAAGAACTCAGTTTAACTTTAAGAAACTGATGGCCAATCTCCAAACATCCTTGTAATCCTTAGTTCACGAGCAATTTGCATCACGAGGCCCAGGGTCTGTGAGGGCTGACAATGAGAAGAGCATCTTGCTGCTTCTGTGCCCCATGGCCCAGGGAAGAACGGACTCCAAGATCACTCTGGTTCTCCACACAGCCAGCGATCCAAACAGATAACTGCCAGAGAGGGTTAGGAAAGTGTGGGTGTGGGGACGGTGGGATTGCTCTTTAGGGATGGGGTTGAGAGAGCCTCTGGCTTCTGCCTGTGTGGTTTTGGAAGGGGAGAACCATAGAAAAGACACAAGTCCATCATCTATTGAACAGGTGTGGTCTGTCTGCTCAGTATAAGCAATTAGCTGGGGACACTTCAAAAAAATTTTTTTATTTGGAGATAATTACAAACTTAGAAAAGAGTTGCAAGGAGATTACAAAGAAGTTTCTCACCATTCATCCAGATTCACTAATTGTTAATTTGCAACCACATTTGCTTTATCACTCCCTCTCTCTAGATGTATATGAATTTTTCTGAATCATTCAGAAAACCTTTTACTCCTTAACTCTTCATTGATATTTCCCATGAATAAGGACATTCTCTCATGTAATTGCAGAACTGTGGAAATAAAGACCCACGAAATGAAAAAAAATCAAAGGCTATTTATGCTGAGCTTACTATAGCAAGAGAGTTGGTTAACATCACTTGAATTTTGGCAGAGGTGCAAAGGCAGGCAGAGGAGTGGGAAAGCTTTATAGTGGGGAAAGAGGAAGGCTTCAAGTGTACCCTGATTGGAGGCTGTTGGCAAGGGGATGCTGGAGGTGGGCTAACTAGAAGTGGGGGGTCCACATGATTGGTTAGGGGTGCACGATTGAATTTCTCTAGTTGATCCTAAGTTGGGAGCAGGAACAAGCATTAGGAAAGTTGTCCCTTATTAATCAAGTCCTGGTCATTTGGGACCAATTGTTACTGAATTATTGTTTAGCTTCCTGCATTGTCACTAAAGACAGCAATCTAGCTTTCTGCAAGTCTGACTTATAGCAGGCTGCTGCCTGGGCTGTTTATTGTAGATGAGGGGTTGGTTTCCTGGGCAAGTGGCTACAAGTTGTGGGTCAAAAAAAATTTTTTTTTAACAGTATCTGGCCTTATCAGATTTAACTTTAGGGTAAAACACTGTTAGCTAACTCACACTCCATATTCAAATGTTGTCAGTTGGCCTAATTATATCCTTTATGGTAATATCCACCGCTCCCCCTACTCTGGTCCAAAATGCATTGGAGGATCATTTGTTGCATTTAGTTGTCATGCTGCCTCTTTCATCTCCTCTAATTAGGAGCAGTTCCTCAGCTTTTTTTTTAACCTTTCATGACACTGACTTTTCTGAAGCATACAGAAAACTCTTGAAGACACACGTAGCTCAGCTGACAGTGAACCTGTGTCAACAGCCTGGCTCCGGG